TTCTGTTTCAGATTTTTAACCCTTTTCACGTCCTTCTCTGTGGGCATGAATCCCAAACCAAATATACAAAGATTCCCACTGGGGCGCACTGGATGCACAATACCCTGTAGAGATGAGACCAGACCCTTGCTCGGCACAAAACCATTCTTCAACATTTCATTCGCAACCATGACGGACGCGGAGGATAGCTTAGGACCCGGAATGCATTTTCCTTCAGGAATTTTCTCAAGAGACACTGTTTCGAAAGTCTGATAGACCCAAGGTCCCTTATCATCTTCAGCTTCGATGAACGGAACAATTGATCATTACAGGCTGACAAGTCCTCATCACCGTGCACAACTATTTCATACGTGTCCCATTCAAACTTCACCATTTGGTGCAGAGAAGATGGGATTGCCTTAGCAGCATGTATCCAGGGCCTGCCTAACAACAAATTGTAGGAGACAGCCACATCTAACACTTGGAATTCCATAGTACAATCAACAGGCCCTATCGACAATTCGAGCATTATATCTCCCACAGAATCTTTACCTCCCCCATCAAAGCCTCGAACACACACACTGTTCAAGTGGATTCTTTCGGTGCCAATCTTCAGTTTTTGCAGAGTAGACAGGGGACAAATATTCCCACTAGAGCCATTATCAACCAAAACCCTTGAGACAACAGAATCTTCACACTTCACTGTGAGATAAAGAGCTCGATTGTTTTCTGTACCCTCCATAGGAATTTCATCGTCCGAGAAAGTGATCCTATTTGCTTCGAAGATCTTGCTAGCTATCTTTTCCAAGTGGTTCACTATGATCTTATCAGGAACGTGTGCCTCATTTAAAATCTTCATCAAGACCCTGCGATGTTCATCTGAATGTATCAACAAAGACAAAAGAGAAATCTGAGCTGGTGTTTTCCTTAACTGCTCCACAATGGAATAATCCTGCGCTCTTATCTTTTTCAGGAACTCCTCAGCCTCTTCCTCAGCGACCAATTTCTTTACTAGCATTGGGCTATCCTTGAATGGCTTGGCTTTCCTTAATTCTTCTGGGGCGAAACATCTCCCAGAACGAGTCAATCCTCCAGTTTCATTGACTTCTTCCTCTATTTCTTTTCCTTTGTATGTCACTATCACTTGTTTATAATTCGACAGAACAGCCTTGGCATCCACCACTGGGAGCTGGGTTACTGGTTTAATGATGATAGGGGTAGTAAGAGCCCCCTTCACAACTATGACAGGCTTACTTGAAATCCCTGGTACTACCCCTTTTGAACTTTCCGGCCTTGCCCCGATATCTTTCGACAGCCCTTTCACGACCAACACTGGTGGTTTCAAATTGAGTGAGCTCGGCTTTTCTGTCATCCCTTCAACTGTCAAGGGCGTTGCTTTGGTAGAGTCTGGAGCTTTAACCAAATTGCTTTCACTGGCCCGAATTATCATGACGAACTTAGAAGACTTTTTGGGCTCCCCATCCTTGTGAACTATTTCAATCATGTGCGTCTCTGCATGGGCTAGAAAAGGCTTTTGTTGATATTTGGCGCATCTAGGCTTTGGACTATAATTTGGTTTGTATCAATGAGCTCCTGGATTGCCCGTTTCAAATGCCAACACTTCTCTATGTCAAGCCCTGGAGCATCAGAACAATAGGCGCATCTTAGGGAATAACCGAGGTTTTTTGGAGGGGGATTTGGTATCTTTGACTCAATCGGCCTCAAGACGTCCAACTGCCTTAACCTTTGAAACAGACTAGCATAGGACTCTCCAAGTGGGGTAAAAGTTTGTTTCCGCTGCTGCCTCTCTTTCCTATACTCTGGCCTTGATAGAAAATTTGAACTAGTGGGGTTTTGATAGGGTTGCGGGGGTGGATAGGTATTTTGTGAAGCTGGGTAGATATTCTGCGGAGCTGGAGCATGCCATTGCGGGTAAGGAGTGGGTTGAGCATATGACTGTACGTGGTGAACAAGATATTGGGATGGCCTGGCTGAGTATTGGGGGTTTTGTGGGGAAAATTAATGTTGAGGTAGATTATATGGAGCTTGGGCGTAGGCTTGGGGTCGGGGTCGAGGATGGATGTACTGATGAGGTGAACCCCTTTAGCCATGCCATGATCCGGAGACAAACATGGCAACATCTTCCTTCTTCTTCTTGCCTAGCAAACTTCCGGTACCACTCTGGATTGCCTGGGTGGTTGCTTTTATAGCAGAATAGCTCATGATCTTACTCGACTTGAGCCCCTCTTCCACCATTTCTCCCATCTTTACCACATCATTGAAAGACTTACCAATGGCTGAGATCAAGTGGCCATAGTAAGTGGGCTCCAAGGCTTGAAGAAAATATTTAACCATCTCGTCTTCTTCCATCGGAGAATTGACTCGTGCAGCTTACTCCCTCCATCAGAACCCATATTCTCTAAAGCTTTCACTGGGTTTCTTTTCCACCTTGGTCAAAGATAGGCGGTCTGGAACAATGTCTATATTGTACTGAAAGTGTCGGGCAAAGGCCTGAGCCATATCGTCCCAGGTGTACCACCTGCTGGCGTCCTGGCGGGTGTACCATTCTAAAGCTGCCCCACTCAGACTTTGGCTGAAGTATGCCATTAGTAATTCATCTTTTCCCCTGGCGCCTCTCATTTTACTGCAATAACCTCTTAGATGAGCTATATGATCCCCGTGTCCGTCATACAAGTCAAACTTGGGCATCTTGAACCCGGTAGGCAATTGGACATCGGGTAACAAACACAAATCCTTATAGGCCACACGCACTTGGTTTCCCAACCCTTGCATATTTCTCAATGATTGCTCCAGAATCTATACCTTCCTAAACATCTCTTCTTGCTCTGCATTCTTGGGTGGTTTGTCAGTTTCAACATGAGGCTCAAATTTGGGAGTGTAAGAGTAAGGATCTGGGACTTTGAAGTTGGGCTCCGGTGCATAGTAGTGGGCATCTGTAGCGGGGAATGCGGGCTCATTAGAGGATCGGTGGAGGGTAGCTTGTGGAGGGGGTACAAAAATAGGAGCAGATGTCGGAGCAGGGTATGAGGTTGTTTTGGCTGGCGGAGCATGAACAGTTTGGGCTGAAGTGCCGGGGTAATTGTGGTAAGGGGTAAAGCCAGGTGCGTGTTGTGGGGAAAGATCAATGGTATTTGGCATCTAGGATTGAGAGAGTGGTGGAATGGAAGCAGGGTTTTCTGTGTAGTTGGTAGGGAACGAGGGTGGAGGGTGTCCCTTAATCCAGGCTTGATACATTTCTGCCATCTGATGCCTCAACCTCCGGACCTCCTCTTGCAGTTCCAACTCCGGCTCAACAATCTCCCTTGGTGGGTCTACAACTCCAGTGTCTATTTCCCTGCTAGCCATAACTATTTGATGCTTTGATCGGGTGTTGTATGGATGACTTGCCATGATGCCAACAAACTAACCACCTTCCTGAAACTTAATAGAGATAATAACGGACAACAACACAAAACCACCATGTTAACGTTAGAGCATTTATCAAATAATAATATCACCTTACATGCAATGCACCTAGTAACGATTAACGGTTCTAAAATGGCTTTGAGGGTCGCAGGGTCATATGGCATCATCCCAATTTGCTCATTTCAATCCCTTCTTCTCTTTCTTTTCCAACACCTCTTATCACTCTTTTCTTTTTCTTTCTCTTTTTATTTTGAACCAAAAATGATTTTATCGAACCCGATGTAGGTTGCCTATGTATCATGTCCCTCATGAATCAGACCAAGCGTACTTCTAGAGAAGTGCTGGAAAATAAACTGAAAACAAAATCTTTTTGGGATTTTCATTAAAATACAAAGGGAAATACGATAATGAAAGACATGACAGACTCAACTACACTACGACAGACTCTGACACTACCTAAAGGACTCAGTACTTCTAGACAAGACACGAAAGTAAAAGACAACATACGAAAATCTCAAAACACCTAAATAAAATAACTCCTCAATAGGCTCCTGAATGCGACGCTCCTAGCTGGGATGATCCTGGGCTGTCCGTCATGCTCAAACTCTGTAACATGCCTCGTAAAGAAACACCGATGCTGGGAATAAAGGCTCTGGTGTATGCCCCCGCATCCTGAAGGCCGACCCTAAACAAATACTGGCCATGCTGCTCCACGTTTGCTGCCAATCCCGCTAACTGAGACTTTATCAACTCAAGCTTATCCCAGGGATCTTGGTCAGATGCCTCCTCAAAATCATCTGTCTGAACTGCCCGACCCCTAAGTTGTGCTGGCAATGGGGTGCTGACCCCTAGCAGGACGGACTGTAACCAAATCAAGTACTCCTGAGTACACTCGGGCTTGCCGACGTCCTCTACTAATGTAGTTTTCTTCATCCTCTTTGCATTGTTCCAGTATTGCACATACTTGATTTCATCAGCCGCTTTTTTGCTAAAATTTATGATGTGCCTCCGAAGATTCAAAATTGGAGGCTCCTCTTGTCTTCTGCCCAATTGTCGCATTACCCTAACGGGAGTGTACGGTTTGACACACTTGAGTCCTAGCAGCATCAGGAAAGGCTGCATGAGGCACCCTACCAAGATATCATCCAAAGGTAGCCAAAGGTAAGCCCACAAAACATTCCCATTTGTCCTCAAACCAAGGAACTCAATCCAAGCCGTGACGCCTACTGGGTACGTAAACTTAGGAGATTTCATCCTACGTTCGATGCATACCACCCGATCCCTCAAGGCACGGTCGATGGGACAAAGTAAGGAAGCGGTGTGCAAATGCTCCATCATCCACAACTATAGCGAAAGGTTACTTCCCTCAAAATATATGACACCTCCCTTAACCTCACTCAGGGCTCGGTACAACTCTGCTAAGATCATCGGCACAACGGTAACGGTTTTGCGTTGCTTCTCATGAAATAGTGCCATTACCACTGACTGTAGACGGGTGCTAATGTGCCTCTCATCTAATGGAAAAACCAATAATCCCAACAAAGCAAGGCTGAAAGCTTCGAGGCGACGTCTTTGCCACTTTGCCTTGGTTGTGCAGAACTCATCCCAAAAGATATCAAAATTATCCTGTGGTCCAAATCTAGCAAACAAATAATCCAAGGATATCCAGGATTGCTTGAGACATTTTAAATGCTTATTATCTTTCAGGCCCAGGTCGCTGAGGAATCTTGTCCTAGAGTGGTCTCGGGGAAGTATCATGTCCTTGCCTATATAGCTTAAACGAGTGAGACCAGACATTTCCGCCAAGGTAGGAGTCATCTCACACTCTCCAAATCTGAAAATCAAATTTAGCGGATCCTAATAAGTCAGCATCGCCTCCACTAAGTCTGGGCGGAGTGTGATATCAAGAAGGGAAGTTAGGGTGCCCAATTTCTGCATTAACTCATGCTGCTTTAACGATGAAAACATTTTCCACCACTTGATCAACTTCCTAGGAATCTTTACTACCATCAGCACTTTGGATCGAATCAGCGGGTCCATACCTGAATGAAGCAAACATGGTTAGCGACTCGGGACACTACGTGACCCCACCACATTTCCTAGTCGACAAATGCAGGACACAACTTGGCTATATTTGCAAAATGGCCTAAGTGGCTGAAAGTGGCTATTAGCGCAAACTTGACAAAGTTGACCCCTAATGCATGAGAAATACTCCATTTAAAGCTTACATGACTCTAATATCCCGACAATCATGGTCTTAAAAATTACTTTGCAGAAATGGACCCTTTTTTGCAAAAATGGCCGATGTGGCCAAATGTGGCTAGGGACGCAAACATGACATGGATGGACCTTAAAGTGATATGACACCGAGTTATAAACTCAAGATCCTAAGACATGGGTAATTGAGCCACTCTTGCGAAAATAACCCTATTTTGCAAGAATGGCCGATGTGGCCAAAAGTGGCTAGACATGCAAATTTGACAGGAATGAACCTTAGAATTAAGAGGAAACTTTATTGTAGACTCAAGATCCTAAGACGAGATAACAAACTACTTTGAGAAAACTTCTATTTTTGCAAAAACGACCAAAGTGGACAAATATGGCTATACATGCAAGATTTGACTACGACCCCGGAAGCCAAGAACCTAGGACCTAATAGGAAGACCGTACCCTATGTGGGTTTCCTACGTATCCCGCCCTAGAAGACGAGAATCAGGTTCGCATAGTTCGGGAAGATTGGTCATGGGAGAAAGCCTTTTTTTTAAAAAATGCAACTAATTTGGAAAAACCATATTTTTTGTCTTTTTGAGAAATGATGGAAAAGGTAAACTCTTTTTGGATTTTCTTTTCTCCTTTTTTTTGAATTTTTGGAAAATGATGGAAAATGTAAAATCTTTTGGATTTTCTTCTTTTTTTTCTTCTTTTTTTTTTGAATTTTTGGAAAATAATGGGAAAATGTAAAAAAAAATTGGATTTTTCATTTTCATTTTTTTTAAAAAAAAAGTAGTGAAAGAAAAATATAACTGGACCCTATTTTCTTTGTCTTTCACCCTTCTTTCCCAAGCATCGGTCCGCCAAATGACCTTTTTATCCTCAAAGGATGCAACATGTATCACATATGGATGATTGAATGTCTTTTTGGACCACGGACCCATTTTGACAAAATTTTGATAGGCTTCCTACAAAGGGACACGGTACCTGGGACCGAGCCCTGTTAGGTCTAAATGACATGATGCAAAAAAAAATGACCTAAAGGCTGACCTAAGTTTGGAGTTCACTAACAAGGCAATTCGGGGGAGCGTATGGTAGATGGTGGCTGCTCAAGCTTTCCACCCACTCCATACATCCGACGGCCCCTCCTCCTAAATTAAGGGTGACTCAACAAAGAGTTCGTGCACGCGACGCGTACTCCGAGACTTGTTGCAGAAAGAAGACCCATGGTTATGCACATGATGACAGTTTATAAAGCAGTAACACATAAAGGAAAAACTGTAAACAAATAAGCAACTAGCAAATAAAAACGATATAAACAAAATAAAAAGCAAACAAAACACATAAAAACCTCAACTGAATATCCTAAAAACCATCAAGATCAAGTACTAGCTCGAATCTGCGAATCCCCAGCAGAGTCGCCAGAGATGTCAGACCTCCTTTTTAACAAACTCACTAACCCTCTTAAAAATAAAAGAAATTTGTAAAGCTCAAAAGGGTTTTTAATTAAAAAAAGTGACAAAACATTGTGTTTAAAAGGAAATAACTCAGAATCGCCACCTGACATTGATTTCGGTGTGCCAGGTCACCGTTTTTTTTTAAAAAAAATAATTTTTCCTTTAAAACACTTTAGACTCCAAAACATAAGTCCGCACCAGAGATTAGGGTAAGGGGATTCATTTGACTCGGGGAGAAGGTGTTAGGCATTCCCCGAGTCCCGTAGCTAGTACGGTTGCGTACATGATCAAGTTGGCTTTTAAAAATATTCGAATTGAGGCGAAAAACACAAAAGAAAAATAAACACACAAGAGGCTCGAGGTCGTCCCCACCTAGATTAAACTAAACAAGAAAATAATAATAGCCTACACTATGTTCACTCTACCATGTCCGTCACGGCCTTCAATTACATTCACTTAGGGGCATACCTCTCATAAAAGAACACAATATATATATATATATATATATATACACACACAAACTCTACGGGGCATTCCCCTGATGAATTAACTAACTAAAAGGGACGACCTTTCGCCTCGAACGAACAAATCCTAAAGAATGCCTACCCAAGTGTGGTCGGCCTAAAGCATGCTCCTAACGTTCAATGAAAGAGCTAACAATAACTAAATTGAAACATTAAAGCGAGTCACATTAAACACAATTCCGTCATCTTTCAACTTTCACTTCCGTGGCCCCTTTAATTCAACTCGACTAATTAACTCAACTTCCTCCCTTATTTGATTCATGAAATAGTCCAATTCAATCAAGGCAATCAAATTAGATTCCAGACACTAATTAAGATAAATGTCACCTTCCCATTAATGAATCATATACGAACTTTGATTACTTCAAAGAGAGCATCAATAGAAACATACCAACAAATAATCATATAATAGAATTAAAGGATTTAAGAAAAGAGAAAAGGGATTGGAACTCACAGAGAACAAACTTATAACGTTAATAGATAAACGTCGAGAGAATCCTACTGCTTACGCTGACTGAAAAAGTGAACTGCGCCGGCGTCCTCGACGAACCTCAAATCATTCGAACCTCTTTGGTCGACGACGGACGTTGGATCTGTTTTGGTATTTTTGAGCTATTCTTTAGTAAATTTTCATGGAGCTTCAAAAGACGATTTCAATGGAGTTTCATGGGCTGGCTCTCCTCCACTTTTGTCCGTCCCCCTACTACTCTACATGTGTGTGCGTTCCTGAGCAGCTGCTGCTCTCTCGTTTTCGGTGAGTATGTTGGCGACGGAAGTGAGACAGAAACGAGAGAGAGAGAGAGAGGTAGGGGTCGTTTTCCGGCGAGTTTCGGGATGAAAATGAAGAAGAAGATGAAGGAGCAGGGGTCGTTTGGCTGTGTACGGGGTGGTCGTTTGGGGTGGCTGCGAGCTTGTTGGCGATTTTGTGTTGTGAGATCAAAGCTGTGAATTGTCGTGTGAGGGGGTGGCTGCTCGATGGATGGGGGGCTGTGTTTTCCGGCGAGAGATCCGACGATGGAGGGTGGCTTGCGGCTGGTCCCTTTTTCAAGATTAGGAGTTGAAAACCTGGGTTAGGGTTTCTATAATTGGTATTTTATATGAAGGTGGGAAGGGATGATGGCCATTGGATTAGAAGGAAATAAATGGCTAGGATTAAATCTTGCACATAAATGGGCTAATGGGTTGGGAAGAATGGGCTAAGAATAATTAAATTAAACTACCCTTTGGGCCTACAAATTTTCTTGTTGGACAAAGACAAACTCAAAAATCTTACCAAAATATTAATTAAACTTAGTTAAGTATATAAATAAAATTTAAAAATGAAACTACCTTTTTTTTTGTATTTTTAAATGTTATATCAATAAAGTAAAAAAGCAAAGAAAATAGGCTAAAGTCATGATAAAATTAAGACACCATGAATAAAAATATACGAGTTGATCTTAAACTAAAGATAAAAATATAGAAAAGCGATAAATATGATAAATAAAACTATTTATGTTTTTTTTTACTTTTTTTATATCTTAGGACTAAAAGTAAAAAGATTAAAATTATATTAAAATAAAGTCAAGTGAATATTTTAAAAATATTAAAATACTAAAACTAACTTTAAAATTTGCGCGGGTCAAAAATTACGTGCTTACATATCACTTTATAGATGATTTATATCCTAAAGAGAGAAGGCTGAGAAACTTACAACTGTACTTTTATGATAATGACAACGAGGTTGGAAATAGAATGGCTTGTTCNCAAATGTATCACTTTATAGATGATTTATATCCTAAAAAAAGAAGGCCGAGAAACTTACAACTGTACTTTTATGATAATGACAACGAGATTGGAAATAGAATGGCTTGTTTCGACAAAATAAATGAATTAATAGTGAAAGAACTGATGGACATACTAAAAGATAATCCATACTCAATTTTTCTGCGATCTTTAACAGCCATTCCAAACTTGCAAAACTTTCATATTGCATTGAATTGTGATGCTGGATTGGATCAATGAGTATATAATCTGCCTACTACAACTAAGATTGCAGCAATATGGGTTGATGAGAATGATAGTGATGCTACTCATGCACCACATGTTCAGATTTATACTCATAGCGACAACACACATAAAGTAAACTATTATTTTGAATGTTATAATCCTTTACAGTACCCGTTATTATTTCCATTTAGCCAAGGCGGATGGTATTGTGGTATTAAAAAGTTTCGCAACCCAGAAAATATTCGTAGAAATCGTACCTTATTTGAATCTGAACAATTACCAAATATAAAAAAAATTGCTCTGTTGATGGATATCTTGATATGGAAGCTCAAAATCTTGAATAAGGAAAACGCAAAAGAGATGTTGGTTCAGTTCGTGAATACTATTGTTATAAGCTCCAAATGAGAAATGATGATGAAGATGAAATTCTACATACAGGGAGATTATTTCATCAATATTCAATTGATGAGTATATAAAATTGGAGACACAAAGATTAAATTTTATTTCATTCAATCAAGATTTGTTTAGAATGAATGTACTACAAGGACTTCTTGATGTATTACAACTTGGTGAAAGGGATGCTTCCAACATTGGAAAACAAACATTTCTACCAAATTCCTTTATAGGCGGCCCTAGAGATATGCGTCAACGTTACATGGATGCTATTGCGTTGGTACAACATTTTGGGAAACCTAATCTATTTATAACCATGACATGTAACCCATCTTGGATGGAAATAGAAGAACATTTATCATCAAGTGATGAGGAACAAAATAGACCTGATTTGATTAGTCGAGTGTTTCAGGCCAAAATAGAAGAGCTGAAAATAGATATATTAAAACGAAATATTTTTGGCAAAGTTGCTGCTTTTATGTATACTGTGGAATTTCAGAAACGAGGCTTACCCCATGCTCATTTTCTTATTATATTAAGTAATGAGCACAAACTGTTGACAATTGAGGCATATGATGATATAATTAAAGCAGAATTGCCAGATAGTAATAGACAACATTGCGCAAACTTGTTCTTAAGCATATGATGCACGGCCTTTGTGGTAGTTTAAACCCGACAAATTATTGTATGAAAAAAGGTTTCTGCAAATTCAAATACCCGCAAAAGTTTGTCGATCAAACATCAAAAGGAAATGATTCATATCCTATATACAGAAGACGAAACACAGGGGAAGTTGTGCATGTGAGAGGGCAAGATTTAGATAACTCTTAGGTTGTTCCATACAATTCATATTTACTTGGCAAATATAATTGTCACATAAATGTAGAAGTTTGCTCTGACATCAAAGTCGTGAAATATCTTTATAAGTATATTTGTAAAAGACATGACGAAATTGAATTCAGTGTGCAAAATAATGATGCAAACATAGAGATAGATGAAGTAAAAGAATACCGGACTGCCAGATGGGTATCACCTCCAGAAGCCTTATGGCATCTCTTTGGTTTTTCCATTAGTGAAATGTCTCCAAGCGTTTATCGTCTTCAGCTACATCTTGAAGTCCAACAATTTGTTTCCTTCAAGAGCAATGTTGATATAAATACGATCGTAAACAATCTGATGATCAAAAAAATGATGTTAACAGAATTCTTCTATATGAACCAAACTGATGAAGATGCTATAGAGCTGAATTTACTGTACAAGGAATTCCCTGAATATTTTGTGTGGTCCTCCAGTGACAAATTCTGGGCACTTCGAAAACAACGCTCTGCTATTGGTCGAATCGTAACGTGTCATCCAACAGAAGGTGAACGGTATTATCTCAGATTACTACTAATGCATGTGCGTGGACCGAAATCATATAACGATCTTTTGACAGTAAACGGAGAATCTTTTAGTACTTTCAGGGAGTCAATGGAGAAAAGAGAATTTTTACATGGTAATAATAGTTAGGTAGAATGCATGTCTGAAACAGCAAGTTATCAGCTGTCATACAGCTTAAGACGTTTATTTGCTACATTATTAGTCTATTGTAATCCTACTAATCCAAGACAATTATGGGAGCAATTTGAAGAGTCGATGACTGAAGACTATAAAGTACTGCAAACTAATGAAAGAAAACAAATACGATACCAAGCTTTGAATCATATCAACGACATTTTACATTCGATGGGCCACGATGTGAATGAGTATGAACTCATCCCAGAAACTATCCGGCCTTCAACAACAACAAAAGAAGCAAAAGAAGTTCATTTTGAAAAATCTATTACTGTAAGTGAAGAAGACATGTTATTACACACGAGATTAAACAAGAAACAACTGACAACATACAATGTGATTACTGATAGAATATTTTCAAACAAAGCAGGCGCTTTCTTTGTCGATGGTCCAGGAGGAACTGGAAAAACTTTTTTATACCGTGCTTTATTAGAAACTGTACGATCTATGGGATATATAGCCTTGGCAACAGCTACTTCAGGTGTTGTTGCTTCTATTCTCCCAGATGGACGTATTGCACACTCACACTTTAAAATTTCTATTAATATTGATGAACATTCCAGTTGTAACATTAGCAAACAAAGTGCACTAGCAGGTTTAATACTAGATGAAAAATTGATTGTATGGGATGAAGTATCTATGGCAAATAAAAGAATGCTAGAAGTTTTTGATTTTCTTCTAAAAGATCTCATGAATACAAATGTTTTATTTGGTGGGAAAGTTGTTGTCTTAGGAGGTGACTTTAGACAAATTCTTCCTGTTGTGCGAAATGGAAAGAAAGAAGATTTCATCAATGAAAGTTTGTTATATTCTAGAATTTGGTATGAACTTGAAAAATTACAATTGTCTGAGAATATGAGAGCAAAAATAGATCCTCCATTTTGTGATTATTTGATGAGAATTGGAAATGGATATGAACAAGCTAGCTCAACAAACAAGATTAAATTTTTTGATTCTTTGGTTATCCCTTTCACAACTGAAAGAGAATCTTTAGATAAGCTATTTACAATAACATATCCAGATTTGAATCTGTTCTACTCCAACACATTTTGTACAAATTCTCATGTAATTTTGACTAAAAAAAATGATTTTGTCAATGAAATCAATGACATGCTTATTGACCAATTTCCAGGAAAACTAAGAACATTTATCGTCATTGATGAAACCACTAAATTAAATAATCAAACACAATTTGAAAATTTATTACAGAGTTTAAATCCTCCAAGCTTGCCTCCTTATAAATTATCTTTGAAAGAGAATTGCCCGATTATGTTACTGCATAACTTAAATCCATATGAAGGTTTATGTAATGACATACGACTGACCTGCTATGATTTTAAAACCCATGTGATAAGTGCTAAGATTTCAACAGGTAACTTCAAAAATACGCATGTATTTATACCGAGAATACCGTTATTATCATCACAGGATGAAAAATGCTCGTTCCATTTAAGAGAATACAATTTCCAATAAGATTGTGCTTTGTTATGACTATAAATAAAGCATAGGGTCAGACATTAGATTTTGTAGGAATTTATTTGCGGGAACCTGTATTTTCGCATGGTCAACTTTATGTTACTTTATCAAGAGCTAAAAGTTCGAACTGCGTAAAGTTGCTGATTCGACCACCTACGCCAATAAGCGATGATGATCATTCTACATGTAACATTGTTTATGATGAAATCATTCAAAAGGCAGCGGGCTGATGTTTTCGACATAAGATGATCCTGTAGGTTTTCTGTTCCTTCCGTACTTCATTATTCTGTATGCACATGTTTTTCCATGTCTTGCTTTTGATAAAGTATTTTGTGTAACCTTTTTTCTTTCTTATTCCAGTTGCCGACACAATAGCTTTCAACTCAAGAAATGAAGCAAAGAAATGTCAAAATGAGGTTACTGGGCAAATTAGTTAACTCGGTAATCCAAGTGCCAACTACATGGCTTCTCATTCTCTTACTCTTAATTTTACTATGTTATCTACAATTGAAAATTTGCCTATGCTTTCATATGATCATCAGCTAAAAATCATTGGATGGTAATCCAGTTTTAGTGATTGACTACAGATTGCCAAGGGCCTCTATGTAAAACAGTAGGAAAATCTGATACTTGCTAACATTGCCTCAATCTGCTTGAGGATTTACAATTTATTCTATACTTTCACTGACAGTATCGCAAATGGTGCTGGATTTGTAGTTGCATGTGGCTTTTGGGTGCAAATTCAGCTACTACTGGTTTTAGAATATTGGATATGAAGTACTGAACCCGAACAAATCTGTACCTAATCCTATGTAACTCAGAATGATTTCATCTTGCTGTTTGTTATACTTGATAACATCACTGATTCTTGAGCTGCCAATAGAGATTCATCTCTTCGGAAGAGTAATACCAAGTCTCGCCCTACACATTCGTGGTTTGAAAAAGATAGCCTATTTATTTTGGATGAGGAGGAGCAAGGTGAAAAGCAGCAGTGCGCTGTTGCTGCTTCAAAAAGTTCCCACAACTTCTCTTTTATGCCAGATAATGAAGTCATCATGCGACACCATAACATTGCTTAGAAACTCTACTCCAATGTCAACCAAATTATGTTACATGTGTGAAAGAAGCTCTGTTTGATATTTATGCTCTTTGTTTGTGCTTACAACCTTGGCTTCTGTGAAGTGGCATATTTCTATTATGAAAAGTTATAATGTTTAACTTATGTGATATCTGGTCCTTTTTTCCTTAAGTTGCCTTCATGGTTATAATTTGGCTAGATTTTAATATTATTTTTCTTCAAGTAATATTTTGGATATCGTTAAAGGAGATAAAAGCTCATACAATAATCTCCGACCATTCAGATAAGTTCATATTCCTAGCTCACTTTAAATGTGGTTCACGTTATCGCAGTTCCAAATGAAACCTGACTTATGGAGGGCTCACTTGACTTGAAAGATCACAGGGATGAAGATGACAACAATGAGAAGATACTAAGTGTGAGCACGTGATTTTTGTTTTGCGCGACAGTCGCTCCAAAAGAATAAAAATTGGTCCTGCTGTACAATTTTGGATTTCTGTACGGCACTTTGTTGATTTATTTGTGACTTTTGCCCGTTTTTATTTATTTATTTATTTAAAACAAAATACAAAATGTGTGGGTCATGCATAATCTGAACCGTAACATGGTTGTTAAATAGAAAAGCATAAACAGGCAACTTTGTCCGTGATTTTGTTTTGTTTAATTTTACCTGTTTTGAATTATTTTAATGTGTGTGCAAATAATTGTATTAGGTGTTTATTTTAATTTAATTTTACTTAGTTTTGTATTTTATAATAAAAAAAATAATAA